TAAGGGAGGGCTTTGGCTCTCACTATCTTAACCAAGCAGTTTAAATCGGCATCACCAGACCCTTGCCGGGTAGCTCAGTTGGCTAGACAAGGTATGACAAGGTTCCAGGTTCCAGCCCAGTGAGGGCACATACAAGACTCAACCAATGAATGCGTAAGTGAGTGGAACAACCAGTCGATGTTTCTTTCTCCCCCCACCCTCCCAAAAAAATCAATTAGAAAAGAAAGTAGCGCCCTAGCCAGCTTGGCTCAGTGGATAGAGCGTCAGCCTGCCGATTAAAGGGTCCCAGGTTCGATTCTGGCTAAGGGCACATACCTGGGTTTCGGGCTCCATCCCCCGTGTGGGGTGTGCAGGAGGCAGCCGATCCATGGTTCTCTCTCATCATGGATGTCTCTCTCTCTCCCTCTCTCTTCCTCTCTGATCAGCTGCCTCCTGCACATCTCCCACTGGATATGTGCCCGCAACCCAGGTATATGTCCTTGACCGATACTGAACCTGGGACCCTTCAGTCCGCAGGCCGAAGTTCTATCCACTGAGCCAAACCGGTTTCGGCTTAATTTTTTAAATTGATTTAAAAGAGGGAGAGAGAGAGATAGAAACATTAGTGATGAGAATCATTGATGGGCTGCCTCCTGCACGCCCCCTACTGGGGATCGAGCCTGCAACCCAGGCATGTGCCCTGACTGGGAATCAAAGTGACCTCCTGGTTCATAGGTTGACACTCAACCACTGAGCCACGCTGGCCGGGCAAAGATCACCTTCTGTGAAGAATCTGAACTTATCCCACTATTCCCCTTACCCTGAGGTTTTTTCTTTCTTTCAAGGTACTCATCACCTAATAGCATACTATCTGATTTGCTTATTTGTTGTGGTTTTCCTTTATTGTCTGAACGCCCCACCTGCCCCTCCATCCCCAAGATATTGACCTAGAAGGGCAGGGATTTTTGCTTCTCTGCTTGTTACTAATCCCAAGCCTCCAAAACAGTGCCTGGCGTGTAATAGGCCCTCAAGGAGTACTGGCTGAATAAATGAATGAAT